TGTCCTTCTATGAGCACTACATTCAGCCGTGCCTGGCGGAGGTCCTCGGCTCCACTCTCTTCATGTTTGTGGGCTGTGTGTCGGTCATGGGCAACGTGGGCATCAGTGGGAGCATCCAGCCTGCCCTGGCACATGGACTAGCGCTGGCTATAGCAATTGCCATTTTTGGAGAAATCAGGTAACTGCCTTATGTCCTGTGTGCTTGATTTAGCAAATGACTAGATTTTTAAATAGAGAATAAAAATGAATATATATATATAAACAATGTTTATGATATTTATATTAGGTTTTTATATTTATATTATAAAAAATATTAAATATCAAAATTGAACAATGAATAATCTAACCAAAACTGTCATTTGAAAGCCATTTATTTTGCATTTACTTAAAATATCTGATTACTCTGCAAAATATTGTTTAATTTCATATTTTTATTTTTCGTTTAAAAATGTATATTTTTATTCCAATTTTAAAAGTTTTTTTATTTTACTCTGAGTTCTTTATTTAAATGATTATTTTCTTGTAGGAATATTAAAGTTCTTAACCTGTTTTATTGGAGAAAATGAAATTTAGCCATTCAATCCGAAACAAAACATAATGTATGCATGATGGCTTACATTTGATGCGACTATCTGATCTTGTTTTTCAGTGGTGGTCACTTTAATCCAGCCGTGTCCGTGTGCGTTTACCTTATCGGAGGAATGGAACTGATGCTCCTGGTGCCATATGTGCTCTCACAAATGTTAGGTGGAGTGATTGCTGCCAGCCTCGCCAAAGTATGTGTCCGAGCTTCTCTGTTAATATTTGTGACTGTGTTTGTGACTTGACATCGCGAAGCCTTATTGCGCAAATTACTGAATCATAAACACTGATGACAAACCAGATCAAACTTTCACTTTCCATGATTCAAGAGTTTTTTTTTTCTTCTTTTTTCTTTAGGCTGTCACTACAAATGAGGCATTTGGAAATGCAACAGGAGCAGCATTTGATGCCGTTCAGTACTCTCATGGCATTGGCTCTGCGACTCTGGCAGAGATGATTATGATTACTATATATCTACTACAAATTAAAAAAGTTTAGAAATCTACTACCTGAACTATGTGGGTTAGGGATAACTGTCATAAGAAAACATTGATGTTTTGAATTGTGTGCATTGTAATTCAAAATGCTAATTTAATTATCATACAGGAAACATTTTATTTCAAATAATAAATAAAAGATAAAAGTAACAACAAATACAGTCTAATTGTTATAATTATACTATAATTATACACATTTTAAAACTTATAAAACGATAGAAATATGAAAACAGAAATGTGTAATTGTCATGGCTGAGATATATATATATATATACTAGAATTTACATGGCTCCATTGTTTTTTTGTTTGTTTGTGACAACAAATGCACTGACGATAAAACTTTCCCTTGATTCAATGGTTTTATTATTTATCTTTTTTTTCTTTAGGCTGTCACTACAAATGAGGCATTTGGAAATGCAACAGGAGCAGCATTTGATGCCGTTCAGTACTCTCATGGCATTGGCTCTGCGACTCTGGCAGAGATGATTATGACGCTCTTCTTGACTATGGTTGTCAGCATGGGTGCCGTGAACGTAAGGACCCGAAGTCATCTGGCTCCTTTCTGCATTGGACTCACTGTGACTGCAAATATTTTGGCTGGGTAGGAAACTAATATTTCACACAAACTACACAAATAAATTATATAGCCTATTGTACAGAATACTATGTTGTAGTATATTTTAAATAAGAAAAAAAATTGTCTTCTGTTTTGCAGCCATAAAGAGCATTTGTGTTAAATATTAAAAAATATTAAATATAGGAATGACTGGAAACATCTGTATTGTCCTATCCTAACAAACCATACATCAATGGAAAGCTTATGACTGGTTTTGTGGTCCAGGGTCTTTTTTATTATTTGTTGTTGGTTTTTTTGTTGTCTTTTAAATCCTTTATATTGTTGTGCGCAGAAACGTACAGATTTAGGGTGATGGTCAACAGTGATTTTACCTCTGTAGCTCATTTCTAATCATTGATTATATACATTACATACATTTATAAGCAGATGTTGATGGTCTCATTTTCTCACAAGTTGCTACACTTGTTTCATTGTGGAGACAGAGGTGTCCTTAATGAGCATGGCAAGCAAATAAACTGAACATCACAGGATATGTTACAGGAAACAAAGACATTAAACAGCCTTGGAACAATAATGGCAATAGGAAATAATGATTCCTAACAATAAAATGTGCTAATGTGTTGTATTTAGGGTCACTTTTTAAAGCCAGTCTTCCAGCCTCTCAATTTTCAGTGATTTCGTCTTCCATGTTCAACAGGGGTGGAATATCAGGAGCATGTATGAATCCAGCACGGGCCTTCGGGCCAGCAATAGTGTCCGGTCACTGGACGTACCACTGGATATATTGGGTGGGACCTTTAACTGGCGCTCTGGTCACTGTCAGCCTTGTGAGGTATTCCTGCTGCTCACCTTACACAATGAATGATTTTCTTCATCTAGGAAGAGTGTAAAGTCATTTATTGTATCAACTTAAAGTATATATGATTATTGACTTTGAGGCTGATCAGATTGAAATAAGAATTAATAGTTAATTCATGTTTTACGTACATTACAGTTTTTGTGTTTGAAACTTTCAATCCTTATATTTAATATGTGAGTATGAGTATCTGAGTATCCATAAGTATCTGATCAATTGCATTATTCATTCTAGGTTGGTAGTGGGAGACAAGAAGATTCGTGTTATTTTCAAATGATGGAGAGGGGACCTCAGAGGATCTCATGTTGCAAGCTTTTTAAATTCGAGATAACTTGTAAAGCGTTGTATGATATTGTCAAACATTTATATAAGTGCAATATTCTATAGTTTTCTGTATTCTGATGCTTCATTGTCCCTATCCTAACAAACCATACATCAATGGAAAGCTTATGACTGGTTTTGTGGTCCAGGGTCTTTTTTATTATTTGTTGTTGGTTTTTTTGTTGTCTTTTAAATCCTTTATATTGTTGTGCGCAGAAACGTACAGATTTAGGGTGATGGTCAACAGTGATTTTACCTCTGTAGCTCATTTCTAATCATTGATTATATACATTACATACATTTATAAGCAGATGTTGATGGTCTCATTTTCTCACAAGTTGCTACACTTGTTTCATTGTGGAGACAGAGGTGTCCTTAATGAGCATGGCAAGCAAATAAACTGAGCATCACAGGATATGTTACAGGAAACAAAGACATTAAACAGCCTTAGAACAATAATGGCAATAGGAAATAATGATTCCTAACAATAAAATGTGCTAATGTGTTGTATTTAGGGTCACTTTTTAAAGCCAGTCTTCCAGCCTCTCAATTTTCAGTGATTTCGTCTTCCATGTTCAACAGGGGTGGAATATCAGGAGCATGTATGAATCCAGCACGGGCCTTCGGGCCAGCAATAGTGTCCGGTCACTGGACGTACCACTGGATATATTGGGTGGGACCTTTAACTGGCGCTCTGGTCACTGTCAGCCTTGTGAGGTATTCCTGCTGCTCACCTTACACAATGAATGATTTTCTTCATCTAGGAAGAGTGTAAAGTCATTTATTGTATCAACTTAAAGTATATATGATTATTGACTTTGAGGCTGATCAGATTGAAACAAGAATTAATAGTTAATTCATGTTTTACGTACATTACAGTTTTTGTGTTTGAAACTTTCAATCCTTATATTTAATATGTGAGTATGAGTATCTGAGTATCCATAAGTATCTGATCAATTGCATTATTCATTCTAGGTTGGTAGTGGGAGACAAGAAGATTCGTGTTATTTTCAAATGATGGAGAGGGGACCTCAGAGGATCTCATGTTGCAAGCTTTTTAAATTCGAGATAACTTGTAAAGCGTTGTATGATATTGTCAAACATTTATATAAGTGCAATATTCTATAGTTTTCTGTATTCTGATGCTTCATTGTCTCTTTGTCAAGTTTTGGTTTTTTTTTAAATTTTTTTAGTTAGTATAGCCTGCCATTGTGTATTCTGATGTTTTCTGTTAATAAAGTCTTTTCTTAGAAATTGCCTGCATCTATTTCTTCACTTTATACTATGTAAATATGCAGGACCCCAAACAAAAATTATAATATAAATGTTTAATTAATCAATGAAATAAATGTTTTCATTTTTTAAGCATGACAACATATCATTCACAAAGTGAACCTAAAAATCGTCTCATATATATATATATACATACAGTATACATATATAATTTATATATATATATATACATATATATATATTTTTTTTTAAAGAAATCCATTCCTAGACCCCCTAAATAATATATAATTATTTGAATGATAATATAATTTGTTTTTTGGTTTGAATTAATTTTTTAAGCATGTCAACATATGTCAACAGATAACCATGTACACCATGTATAATATATAATGTGTGTACACACACACACACCACTCTTTTTTTTTTAATCTATGACCCCCTGAGCATTTTAATAGTATTTATAATACCACCATCAACATATATTTACATATCATATTGCAGCTCAAAGTTCACCTTGGAGCGTCAATATGTTGTTTTATAATGCCATGTGAGTTGATTACATTTCCGCCCAAGGTCAGTCAGTTATCACACACTTGACAAGCAAATCAATAACACAGAGATAATAATGGAAACAATGCTGTCCAAATGTGAAGCACCTTACATCTGATAAGGGAATATCTATGCTCTAATCTAACTCTAACCTGAAAATGTCTGTAATTATACTTCGATACCTTACTGTTCTTACCAAATCTTCTCCTAAAACTTTTTTGATTGTATTTTGTTGTTGCATCATTCACATAATCCTACGATAATATATCAGACCTTTCAGGGATAAAAGAATGATTTATGGCGGAACAAGTTAGTTTGGCTCTATTATCATAGTGCTTCCCTCTGCCACAGTCACAGAGTTACTCAATGCACTTGATGGTGCACAATGTCAGCGCAGGCAGAGAAGCTAGAACTTGAAGAGCTTGACAAAACTTTGCTAAAGAAGAATGAACCCAAACCTCTGGGCAAGTACGAGAGAATAATCCAGCCATGTGTTGCCGAGCTGGTGGGCACAACATTTTTTGTCTTTATCGGCTGCGTGTCTGTCATTGAAAATGTGGAGGCAGCAGGACGACTACAGCCTGCGCTTGTGCATGGAT